AATAATTCTTTTTAAAAAGTAGGTTTTATCTGGAATTTAAAAGATATTCTAAAAGACTTATCTACTAGATTTAATTTTTCTATTTTATATTTAATAATAAAATTATAGAAGATTAAGCTTATAAATTATTAAATTTATTTTTTATTAATTCTAATTTAATATATGAAAAATTATAAGTTTAAATAATTAAATAAGATCTTAATTATTTAAAGAACTCCTTCAAGATATTATTACTATTATTTAAAAGAATAAATAATAGTAAATAACTTTTAATCTAAAATATTATAATTTAACTTAATACCAGAGAACTTATAAGACTAAAATATAATTAAATAAAATATATTTTTATTATTAAATTAAAATAAGATGCTACTTATCCCTTCCTTGAATATATTAATTTCTAAACAGCGGGGTTTCATAAGATTAAAATATATTAATAAAAATACTTATTAGAAGGCAGTAATTAGATAATAAAAAATAATTTATTTAAATAAAATTAAATAAATCTTTTTTAATTTTTATCTGTTAACTGTTCCACGAAGTAGCAAGGTAAGAGGTAATATAATATAAAAATAATTTTAAATAAATTATTAATAAAAATTACAGAATCTGAAAAAAACCTGGATATCATGATAATTTTCAGGAATTAATTATAAAATAATATTATTTATTTATTAAGAATCTATAGATACTTTATCAGAATTAATAATATATCCTAGAAATTCAACTTTAGATTAATAGAATAAGTATTTTAATAATTTTATATAAAATTAAGCTTTTTAAAGTCTTTTTAAGATTTAATAAATATATTTTATATAAGATTCCTTATCAGGTAAAAAGATGAAAATATTATCTAAATATATTATATAAAAGTTATTAAGAAGTCCTCGAAATATAGTATATATATAATTTTAAAAAGTTACTAGAATATTAGTTAATCTAAATAATATAACTATATATTCAAAGTGGCTGTATCAGGTGTAAAATATTATTTTTTATTTATTATTTTTCTTAATATAAATTTAGTAGTATATATTCTTAATATCAATTTTTGAAAAGTAGATACTTCCTGAAATCTTATTAAGAATCTCTAAAATAAAAATAAAGAATAATAATTTTTAATAAAAATCTTATTAAAATCTTTGTAATCTATATAAAAATATAAGCTATTATCTTTTTTAGATATAAAGAGAATAAAAGTTCCAGTAAGATTTTTTAAAAATTAAATTTAATCTAGTTTTAGATTCTTTTTAATATATTTTTATAGGATCTTAAGTTCAGCTTCAGATAAGAAATATATTAAATTATAAAAAAAATATTTTATTAGATTTAATATTAATAATATAGTTTACAGAGCCGTAAGGAGGTAGTTATTAAAAGAAATTTATAAAAAATATATTTTAAAACTGTTTTAATTTAACAGGAATTATCTTAAGATTTAGTAATAAATTATAAAGCTTTTTTTTTAGTAGCCAGATATTTTTAAAAAGCTTGATAATAATATATATTCTTATTAAATTTTAAGTTACTTCAGTAAATTAAGTAACAGAGAGTAATAAAATAAATAATATATTAAATTATTACTAGCAGTTTTATATTAATAAGATAATATATAGATCTTAAAATAAAATTATTAAAAATAATATAAGATTACTTTCTAGTTAAGAATTTTAATTAATTTTTATATAATATTATTTGAAAGTGCGGGTGGCTCCTCATAAATTAATAATAATAATAAAAACTTTTTATATATTATAAATAGAAATAATAATTTGATTAATAACTTTAATCTTTAATACAGTAACTGGGATATATTAAAGATTATAGATTTTAATAAATTAATAATTAATAATATCTACTTCAGCACAGCTATCTAAATCCGTAAAGATTTCAAGATTATTTTAGATATAAATAAAAATATAAAAATAATATATAGTTCTTACTGTAAGTAAAGAAGTTAAAATTATAAAATCTATTTTAATTTCTTTATTTTTTTCTCTGAATCTGATAAAGATTAATAAGTTCTAGTAGATTAAATTTTTTTATCTTTAGTAAAATATCAGTTCGCAAGATATTAAATATTTTTATATATAAAATATTATAATTAATTATTATTTTTTCTGATAAGATTTTCTTTATGATTCAGAATATCTTTTTTAATAATTTTATTAATAGTTTCTTGGAAGTGCTTATATAATTTATAATTATTAAATTAATTATTATTTTATTTACATTTTTCTCTATTCTCTTATAATTTATAATAATAAATAATAATAATTATTATTTTATTTTACTTCTCTAGTAAGTATGGAATATATTCTTAAATATAATAGTTTAAATCTAAAAATAATTTAATAAAATATAATAAAATTCTTTCTTTCTCTGCTTAATAAGAGAAGTATTATTTTAAAATATTAAAATATATATAGAACTCTCTCAGATTCTAGCTGTATTACTGGTAAGCCTGTTTTAATTAAATTATAATATTAAATTAAAAAATAATAATATTTTAAATTAATATAAGAATCTAGTCTTTAAATCAGAATTATAATCTTTTAAGAAATTACTTTTTTTCTAGATTTTTATTATTAATAAAATAATATTATCTCTGCTTGTAGAATAGATCTATATAGCTAATAATAGTAAGAATCTTATATTTTTTTAATAAATATTTCTTAGAAGTACTTCTGAATATATATTTTAAATTAATAATTTATTCCTGATACTTTTAGAGATTAAAATTCAGAATAAAATAAGAGATATTTTTAAACTTAATCTCTTTTTTATCTTTATTTAATTTAAAGAAGAATTAGTAGTATCTTAAAAATATTTTATTTAAAAAATTATTTTTTTAAAAATAAACTATTCTCTATTACAGATTAGTAGTTTATTCTAATTAATAAATATAATTTTCTAGCTGTTAAATCTCTTTAACAGTGGGAATAGTATTTAATAATAATTCTGGATTAATTTAATTATTAAATATTTCTATTTTTTTATTATCTTTAATAGATGGCATCTTCCTTAGGTAATTAAAGTAAAAAAATTAAAATATAATAAGATTTACTTATCAGAATAGAAAGTCTATTAATTAAATAAGAAATTAACTACTAAACACCCTATATTTATTTAATAATAACAAAGATAATCTATATTTATGAAATAAACTGATTCTTGAAGAATTAGTAGCTTATTACAGAAGAATCAGTATCTTATAAGTACCGGAGAGATATAGAACTATTATTAATAATCTCATGATTCTTATAACCATTATAATACGTCATCCCGATGACTTTTATCCCGATAGCTAGGTTATTCTATCACAAAATAATACTATAAATAAAAAGACTCAGGTTATAGGCTGAGCTATAGATTTAACTAATAATAATATTTTTATTATAGATTTAGATAAGCACTGGTAGCCGGTTAAAAAAATATATATAAAATAATTAATTAATATATAATATTAAATAGTTCTTAGAGATAAATATAATATTATCAAAGATAAGAAAACTGGAAGAAGAATTTCCAATAATGAATAAACTATACTGGACTGGATAGTATTTATTAAAAAGCTAGAAAAATAGTTATATAATTGAATGAAGTAGTTATTTCTGCTGGTATCTTCTTTATAATAAATATTAAAAAAGAATCTACTCAAGTTACTTGCTATTAGAAGCAGGGAAATATATTATAGAAGCTATACTGGAGGGTAGAAGGCTGGCAAGGCCTGACACGCACAGCGTGTCCAGAAGAAGAGAGAAACAAGAGAAGAGCATTGTTGTGGATGTATCTGAGTAGGAAAGAGGAATCCATTCTTGCAAATGGGACGCTTTTATACACGATGAATTGCTCAGCCTTGTGGCAGTGGATGACATTGATCGGCTTGAAGCAGTGAGACTGAGTGTACAGCTCACCATGTTGACCGTTAGTTATTGGCCGGACATCAGAGTTCCCTCATTGGGAAGGCATCGCGAAGATCCATCTGGATGCTAGTCTCTTCCTTAAAGCTCCCTAGTGTTTGACATCAGCACTACTCCGCAGTGAGCTTCCTGTCATCGAAAGCTGCGATCGGCACGCTGCGCCTCGCCCCGCAATACTTCTCCGACTGCAAAGCAGTACGATCTGACTCAGCTCCATCATCAGAAGTCGTCTCTATTCTTGCGTGTTGATGATTAGTGATTCTTTGAAAATGGGTAGAAGAGCATCGCTAGTGGACGTGTACATACACCCTGCCTTCCTTTCTCTTTCTTTAATCCCTCAGTCTCTTCAAGCTTGTGATTGCTCAGGGAACAGCTTAGACTATCACGTAAAGACGACAACATCCAAACACTAGCCCTGTAAAATCCCAACTGCGTCCGCTGGCAAGCACTCCTTGGACAAAGCGCCTTGTTCACATTGTATCAGGCAATGAGCAGCGCACAGATGACACCAAGAAGGTACTGTAACACCAGTTCCTACTGATGGCATCGGGAGGTGTTACTCGAAAATAACGCTGCCGCCCGGAGCTAAAATGACACACCCTAATGACGAAAATATTTCTTGAGAGGCTACTATATCCGCAACTTTCGATTATACGAGAGAGAACCAACACCGTGGAGATTCGGACACGAACTTGGCTTACGATCGCCGTTGGACCTAGGTGTTCGTGACAATGTGGGGTACGAATCTAACCTTAGCAAGCCGCAATACGAGCGCAGACCTTGGAGACTAGTATGCATCGATTCTATACAATGCCTTTTGAGTAAAATGACTGCCATGGGTCATGAGGTGTGTTTTCTCACAAACCTATTGAATCTAGACCTTCGGCTACAATAAGTTCGGTGGATCTATACCAAGTTGTGATGTAACCTACCCAAGAATCTGGCCGATGCACTAGTATGCCACCCAGTACCTATATACAAGTCGTAAAGAGCTCTGCTCACGAGTACTTTACTAACTTACTAACAATCTCCCTCGGAGCCGTATAGCAAATCTCACACTCCTATTCAATACGTATCATGGCTATCTCTAAGTCCAAGATCCGGCTCCTAAAAAGCCGTCCACTTTGTATAATTTGCGCCAAGCCCCAGGAGGTCCAGATCGTTGCGCGTACACTGCAAATCACCAAAGATCATATTTCGAGTAGTGATATCCCAGAGCTCGGCGATGGCTATGATTTTTACCTCGGAACATTTAATATTATCTCAAAAGACGGCGGTGAAGCTAGAAGTCTGGAGTACTATGTTACGAGCCCTTATCGACAGGGGATACAGACGTTCTCGATTCAAGCTGGGACTCTGTTCCATGTCCTTAGACCACAATTTGCCGTACATGCAGGTGTCTGCGCTGGTTACGCAAAGGAAGGCATAAAGTAAGTCCATTGAGTTCTCGGTGTCCAAACAGTGTGACTCAAAGTTGGTTAGACTTGAGGATGTGATATTCGGTGATATGGCAATCAACTACGAAGAAGGAAAATGGGTGGTCGAAAAGGGTCAGAAATTATTCAAGCCATCATACAGAACCATTGAGTGCCGGACGGTAGCGAGCATCGTTGGCTTTACCCAGAGTAGTTTGGAACCGACGTACAAATACGGTGGCTATATAAGTGGTTCCGCTGTCCGCGAGGATGCAAACGAGATCTTCGATCTTCTCCGCACAAGTGTCAGCTTGACCAGCCCCATTGAAATTTAACTTTCCATCGTCTCACCGATCTGAATAGGTTAGCCGTGACATCTGTGCGCTTGAAATGGAAGCCAGTGCATTTCTGATGCTTTGCCAACATCACAAAAATATCAAGTGTCTGGGCGTGGTTAAGGGGGTCTCTGATCTCGGGGACTCCAACAAAGCCCATGACCCAGATACATATAAAAGGTCACTGCAGGTTACTGCATCAGCGGTTAGGGAATGGGCCATTTACGCTTTGCGAAATGTCGAATGGAATACTGATGAGGGTACGCCCAAACCTTTTGCAGAGTGAAGCATAATACCTAACTTGGAAGCAGATGATTCGATCGTGGCGGAGTTTGTCAATATCTATTATGAGAACTTTGTCCGTATCGCGCTTGATGCTGTTGGTTCAAAACAGGATCTTACTATTGCGAACGACAACCAAAGAAAGGTATCTGCTATTGTGTTCCCGTTTTTTCTTTTTCTTCTTTAAGGAGAGGACTGATACATCGATATTCAGGTACAATCAAAAGATGTGAAGGGAATGAAAGTGGTTATGCCAGAGAATGATGACCCCTCGGCGTATAGCGAATCAGGCCACATCGCAAAAATTGCCAATGACCACGGCCTTGAGTCAGTCACCATCGGACAAGTACGTCACACACTGATTCAGGCTTTCATTAGATCTGACAAACAATAGAGTAACTTGGGTCGCGGACTATTTTATAAGGATGGATACCTCATTGATTTTCCACGGCTTCTCAACAAATTCGCAGATGAGGATCGCATACAACAAGCTAAGATATTTCAGAAATTGCTGATAAGGAAGCCATACTTCACTGTATCAAGTGCAGAAAGTACCCCCCTTGCTGCAACAGCAACTTGGGAGGACTTTGTGAAATCTGCTCCCACTGCTCCAAATTGACCTGAACTTGAAACAGGGTTTTCACAAAATTGTTGGTCCGCGATACCTGCTTAGTTGTTGTCTTTTTGGTCATCTTTGGTTTTTGAACAATAGGAGAACCACACATCAATAATGTGGGATGAAGGTAAGGATGGACACCCTGTAATTGAACCTGTGCTACGTGTGCATTCCTTCATTCGCTTTACGATTTGTCTACGTGTGTAAGTTGACAGTTACTTCTACCACAAATTGTATTCATATTTATGTTGACTGTTACTGTCTTCCAAGCGTCTTCGAAATCCACACGATGTGTCAGAGACTTTACGTAGCTGTGCTTAACCAGGAGCTCATTAGCCGAACATCTCTCCTTTGTGAACCTCAGGCAATAACAAAACTCCGACTTCAGAGCAGATGATCATACTCTTTACACTTCCTTGTTATACTTACAAAGCGAAGACGTCCCTACCGAGCAGCATGAGAGGTGACCCGAAAGGTTGTTGAATGCAGGAACTACCTTCCTACTAGAGCAAACGCCAACTTTGAGCTCCAATACATACCCAACTACTCTGTTTTGTATGTAGTCCGTGTGATGAGTGAGCTGCCCTGCCATAACTCTCGTAATCTGCGACATTCTGCATAACAAGCGCCGTAGGGTGCAAGGAGTGACATCGGATGCGCACTTCCGGTCGATCAATTCAAATCATATTAGAGAATAGATAGTCCTTACAATGAAGAAAACAAGATAGAAAAGAAAGATGAAAAAAAGAAAAACATACAACAGAAGGGATTCGCTGGTGGTCACCTACCTAACTACTAACCTCCTGGCGTGTGGCTTAAGTACGGCTGAGCGGACAGGAAGCCCTGTTTTCCACACCCTATGGTCATATGTACTCTTTTTTGGTTGAGAAGAGAATGTATCCTGCATTCAAACTTGATCTCACTGATAAATAACTGGCAGGGCTGAAGCACTAATCCGCATGAGTTGTGATACTCCTTAGGAGACTCAAGATATCCGTACAACAATCCTTTCAATACTTCAGCATAATATCTGAGTCTCTAGGCCATCGTATTAAGGATGAAAGGCTGAAGAGTAAAAGTATTGCCACTACAAGGCACTTAAGGTTGATAACATTTGGACGCAAGACAAAACAATCGATATGAACTATTACTTCGGAGTGTTGAATGGTATGTTATGCCCATCTCAGAATATTACGCAGAGCCTCACCAGCTCACACTACCAGGATCTCTCGTCTTACCTGGCCACGGCTACGCCGAGAAAGCAGACTGTGCAGGCGAAAACACGTGAAAACATTGACAGGGGGCGCCCAGATGCCCCAAAGCTTTTGACATGGCTGAATAATGCAGACAGCAACCCTAACATCGAGGGTGTTGTGCTTGATGACTATTTAAAGGTCTATCTTGGTAAACTACATTACCGCTAGGACTGGTGAATACTATGTAAATAATATCTTGCCGAAGAGATTTTCGTCCTTTCTCTCAACTTTCCAACAAGACACACATAGCAAACTACTCTTTATCTCCTGGATGTCTATTACGGACACGCTCTACCATTGGGCCAAAGTCACCCTATGGACATAATCCGGTAGCAAAAATGTCCACTATCACTTAGATGTAGAATAAGAAATCAATACGGTATAGCTGAGCAGCTACAGCTTGGTAATCGTCAAAGACTCACTGGTCACTGTCAGATATTCTCGGATCAGATTCGCATTTTTGTCTATCGATGACGGCATAATCCCATAGATGTCCGTATGCTCCACGCCTGTCGCAGAAGGAGCAATTTGTTGTACATTAGGTATACTAGACCATTATATCAGCGAATCAGGCAACATTCTCACAATTATTCTAGAATTGAAGCCTCGATCGAGTAGCTTCTTTCACGGCAGTCATATGGACATGCCGTTTCTAGCGAGAAGTGCAATAATCGTCAAACAACAGTTCCAAAAGGGCATAATGATGATCTAAGAAATTCTATCACTATAAGTAAGCTCATATACATGATCAAAACATTATCACCGAAGTTGACTTTGTATAACTATGATCTTTCATACTGAAGCAGTTGTCAAGTTGCTGTATTTTCAATTGTATTTGTCTGATATTAACTCTACTAAGGAATTCATTGCGGAGCTGAAGGTATATATAAAGAAAGTTTGATCAGTAAATAAAAAGAAATATGACTAAGGGTTTCATGCGTTCCTTCAGCAGTGCCTTTGTAAAGCAGGTGCGAAACAAGATAGCGCCGAATCCCATCTCCGACATTCAGGTATTCCCATAAAGAAGATATGATTTGTTGTCATGTTTATGAGCGTCGTGCCTGCGTAATTCACTTCACACCTTCTTACATTGTGCCAGTTCGGTCTGCTCGTGCTAATCGCACATGGTTTAGTAATATTTCGTGTTGGGTGGAAGGCCCTGTCACTTGTCGTCACTCTGGTGTTTCATTTGTCGGCTACTATTTATGAGGGTTGAGGAAAGGATGTAATGCAAACCAGGAGATTGTCTGGAAGAAGAAACATACTCTTTCGTACCCTTGTCACGGGATACGCGAGAAAATATCTCGTAAACAATGAGTGGTTTCAGGGTTATATCATCAAAGAGGTGAAACTATGGAACAGTATAGTATGCACTGCTACATAAATCAAGAATGACCTCTGTCCAAAAATAACTACCTCCCATTCTCAACCCGCTATCGAACATTTTCACTCCAACCTCGCAAATGCAGTCTCCTAGCCACTTAGAAAAGGACTAGAGATATTAGTACCTGATAACATATCGTGGTTGCTCATATATTCTATAGCAACAGGCACGATGTAATTGATGGTGGCACAAGGTTATTGCCTTGAGAGACGGAAGCTACAATCAAGGTAAGGCTTCCGTCGGGATACTGTATTAGGGAACCTTCCCGCCATTAGGGGGGGTATTCATATTACAAATCCCCTCCCGAACAGTTAACTATAAAGCAGTTCGTTTTGCGTTTGTCTCAATGTGCTAATTTGACTTTACAAGGAGAACCGATATCCAAGCTAATAGAACGAAAACAAATTTGAATTTAATTTTAAATTGTTCACTTCCGCTCTTCCCTATGATGAATCGGTCTAACGGTCAACCGACAATGAAGCAGTGGGTGCTGAGCGGAACTCGCGGGACGGATTCCCTCCAGCTCCAAGATGTTCCGATTCCCGAGCCAAGTGACTACGAGGTTCTGGTAAAGTTCCACGCCGCTTCACTCAATTTCAGAGACATCATGGTTGCAAATGTGAGATCGCATCATTCTTTCAAGATGTTGGTTATATCGAGAATCGAAGCAACGAAATAACATTGAAAGCCAGGGACAATATTATATCAAAACTAAGGACGGAGTAATTCCTGGGTGAGTACTCAGGCTTTACACTGTTATTGTTCTGATTAAGTGAGTACTGACTGGTGACAAAGCTCTGATGCTGCGGGTGAAATTGTCGAAGTTGGCCCAAAGGTGACCAGATTTACAACTGGACAACGGGTTTCACCTATCTTTCATTTGACACACCTCTATGGTTCTGTGAAGGATTCAGACACTCAAAATCAGCTGGGTGGAACCTATGACGGGGTATTTCGCGAGTACGCTGTCTTCAATGAGCAAGGTTGCGTGGAGATTCCATCGACCTTGTCTTACCTTGAAGCTGCAACTCTACCTTGTGCTGCACTCACAGCGTGGAATGCCCTTTATGGTGGTTCTAAAACGTTGAAGCCGGGTGATGTGGTTCTGACGCAAGGCAGCGGCGGTGTTAGCATATTTGCTCTCCAGTTCGCAAAGCTTGGGGGCGCACAAGTCATCTCGACAACTAGCAGTGTGGAGAAGGGTACAAAGCTGCGAGAATTAGGCGCAGATGTGATTATAAATTATGCCGAGGATAGCGAATGGGGCCAGACGGCCAAACGCCAATCGCACCGAAAGAGAGGAGCTGATTTTGTGGTCGAGATTGCCAATACTATGGCTCAATCTTCCCGAGCAGTTGCTAACGATGGGTGTATTGCAACCATTGGAAGAAGAGGAGGATCTGAAGGAGGGGCAGGCACCTCTCATAGCTCCGTGCTGGCGACTGTTCGAAGAATTTTGGTGGGCAGTAGAGAGCTTCAAGAGGATATGAATGCTGCCATTGACGTGAACCACCTTAAGCCACAGATTGACGGTCGTTCATTCAAGTTCTATGAACTTAAGGAGGCATATGATTATTTTCAGAAGGGAAGCCACTTTGGTAAGGTGGTCGTGGACTTCGACTGACTGGCGATCGTTTGAGTGACAATACAAGACACACAGGTTCTATAGTCGTCCAGAGGTCAGATGTCTCTGGAAAAAGGAAGTGAAATAAGCTTTATAGCACCTCAATGTTCTGTATTATTTGATCATATATCTGGACAAATGTAGTCTGTAAGGGGTTAGCCAGGCATGCCCGATGCCAAATACAGACCACGATATCCGGTACCGAGTACTGGCCCCGAAACGGAACTCACTGATAAGGCCTTGCCTGTCATCCTGACCATAAATAGAAGAGAGGGCAATGGAGACCGTCAGTAGTGGGGTACGTGAGGAATGGAGGAGAATAGTTGACGGATTGCTAACGGTCCTTATTGTGCTTGGTTTGCGTCAAGCCTTCTAGTAAAGTTGTCTAGGCCCTGGTTCCTGACCTAGTAGTATATATACTTAGGTGCAAAACTGGGGTATTTTTGTATGTCTGTAATAGATCAGTAATCTACGATATCTTCAGATAAAGTTTGTTGAGTCATGTGGTTGGGGTCTGAAATAGTACGCCTATGTATACCTTTACGGAAGGCAATGACAATCACTACTTCAAAAACTTGGGACTCCGAGATGGTATAGGAAATTGATCGGGTAAAATTACCTGTGCCAGCGTGACTTTCTTATTAAGTCTCAGCATGTAATAAAAACCAGATAATACCATAATATAATTGAATATATAATTCCTATTATATGCATTACTACTGATATTATCTACAGTTTA